GGAGCCCACATAGAGAGATTAATAAGATGAATGTCTTTGATCCTACAGTCACCCTTATTTTTAAAACTGCATATAATCTTCCATTCGATAAGATTAGGGCTGCTATTATTCACAACATCTTTGTAGAAAAAGAAACTACCTTCTAATTTGTCAATTATTTTGTTAAACCAGTTAGGGATCCAAAAGAAAGAAAGTAATACAAAGGAAATGAAAAAAGAATAGTGTTTATAGATAATTCTTCCACATTTGGGAAAAGAAGTTTCATTTCCAAGAAAAAAAGTTTTAGTTAAATCTTCTTATTGAAAGGAGTTGAAAGAGAACTAAGAATGCTGGTAGATCCCCAATCCCCATGGATACCCGAGTATTTAAAAGGCCGAGTATCAAGAGATCAACCTAGGATGCTATTTTATTCTGAAAAGGAGATGCACAGAACAGTAAAGTGTCATAAGCAATTAAAAAATATTTATTGAATGTTCACCACATTTTAAGTAACAACAATCAATTCCAATGCTTGTAGAACTACCTTTTAGCATTTTTCAAAGAACATAAGTTATGCTGATGAAAAGAAGTGAGAAAGAGGGTTTCCTTTCCTTAGACCCTTAAGATGCTTAAAGTGTTTGCTAAGTTCTCCACTGATGATGATTTGTGATGTAAAACAAGAGATAGAACCCTCATATGATAGTATTGAAACTTTGAGCAAAATGAAATAAATATGAAAATGAATACACCAAAAAACACAATCACAATACATGGTTCAATGATCACACAGAGATCAAATAATCCACTAAATTAAAGTTAAATTTTATCTATGATGGTTAAAAGAATTTCAACTTTGTATCTAACAAATCCATCCCATGGTATGAATTTTGGGAGAAGAAATAACCCAAAAGCGTATTCAGTAGAAAATCCTATTTGCAAATATCAAAAGCCTTGTTAATGTCAACCTTAAAAATAAACATTTCTTTTTCTTATTTAGCAGTAGAATGAATTAATTCATGAGAGTGAATAAATATATAAATAGTACTCCCATTAGCCATAAAAGCAGTAGATATTTACCAAATTATGAAAAAAAACGTTTTGAGTTTGTTGTCAAGGAATTTATTGAAAATTTTGAAAGCTCTATTAGGCAGATTGATTAGTTTGAAGACATTAAGAAGATGACAATCATCTTTCTTGAGAATTAAGTAAGAGCATAACTAATATTGTTTGGGGATTACTTTTCCAAAGTAGGTAGATGTATTCAAGCATAGTGAGAAGATGAATGATAACCATATTTCCTGCAAAACATCATAGAAAAGCAATATGTTCCTAAAGGATTTAGAAGCTCTTAGAGAAAAATTACATATTTAATGTCATCCAGAAAAATATATTTGTCTAAATTAAACAGGAGAATGGGATCGATCATCTTAAGAATAAAGCTCACGATAATCAATCATAGGATTGGAGACTGAACCATGAAATTAAAAAGATATTTTTAGTAAGTGTTAAAAATTCAAATCAATTCTGGTGGATAAGAGATGAAATGATCCTCCAAACAAATATGAAAAATAAAATTATATTTACTTATTCAATTTGCAAATTTTTGAAAAAAGTGTTTTATCACGTTCAAGTTATCGATTTATCTTGGACTTTATGCCAATATATGTCTTCCTTTTTAAATTCAAGTGTAGTCTTGATCTGCATCTTCATTTTCTTTGAGATCCTAAGCAGAGCCAAGACCAGAAAAAACCCTACATTTAATTTTATCAACAAATTAAAACTTATATTTTTATTCCCCTGAAAAAAAAATGAAGATTCTAAGCTTAGTGACCAAAGAATTCACTCCATGGCTTGAAGTAATGTGACTTTTCTACCAAATAGAAGCCTCATCTTTAAACTCCACAGCGTTGAACTTATAATTTTGAAATCTAAACTGCATCGACTTGATAATAGAGTTGGATATGAATAGAAAATAATCAGCGGCAATAAAAAATAATATCCATTAGGGAAAAGTGTGTCACTTGAAGAAAAGAAAAGAACATCCAGTTTAGTCAAAATATCATTCACTCTATTGATAGGGGTATGTTGATCAGATTGAAGAAGATAATTGAATGAATTTGGATTAAGATTTGGAACTATTTAAGTATCTTTCATTTGAGGCAGTGGTGTCAATATAGTCACCAAAAAGTATCAAATTTGATGTCCACTTATAATATATTCTGAACTATTCAATCCAAAAGAAATTTTTTTCTTGGTCTTGAGGAGCATAAACATTAGTTAAAACAAGATCATAAGAAAAGTTATCTAATTGACATCACTGGGAAAGATAAATCAATTTTCATTCTTGAAAACAAATAATGTCCATATTCTCACTAATAATCCCTTCTTTAAAATTGTTTTAAACTAAAGAGTCCAAACCATATACATTTCATGTACCAATATTCACGAAGAAGAAAATCTCACAATACTATATATAAATGTTGGATTGAAAGTTGTTCATGGAAAAATATCTAAATTTTATTAGAGAAATGAATCATACCTAAAAGGTGAGAAGAAGAAAGAGAATCTTGATCTTATGAAATTATTTAGATAACAAGTTTATAATGAATTCGGTTGAACCTATTTGAATTTATTTAGAAGGTAAGTCGAATCGATTTACAAAAAAGCCATTCAAATAAAAGTACTTATCATCCAATTATACTGAGATTTTATGTGACTTTTCTATCATATTACTTATAAACATCCTCGACTAGTGACCACTTATTTATGGGCAAGGACCAATTTTATGTTAAAATTTTGAATATACAATATAATTACATAGAGAATGTATAGGTTGAATCCGTTGTAACTTGTTGTGTAGGGGCAAGTTAGGCTTGTATTCGACTGCTGGTAAGGGAAACTTCTTACAAGTTCCAAAGTAAATGCGAGTATCCTTGGCCCGTTCTCTTGATGAGAATCCTAGTCAACTAATAAGTACTCCAGACGAGTTGAAATTCTCTTTTATACGAATAGCCTTAATTAATGGGTGACTTGCTAGTTCCCCCAGCAACTTCAACAATTTAGCACTGAGGGTTGAGTTAGAGATAACTATTGAGCATCTTATTATAAATGTAGTTCTAGGTGACTCGAGGCCTTTAGGCTACTTTAAACTTAGCAAGTTTTGAGTAATAAGAAGTTCAAGTGATCTCGATCAACTACTCATGCAACTTGGTTTTATAATTTCATAATGCCTAGATTAACCTAACTAGACACATATGGATGTACAAGAAATAACTTTAAGATGAATGAAAAGGGAGAGAAAGTAGCCAGTGAAGAATAATGGGTTGTGATAAAAAAATCATGATTAATAAGAGTAGCATCAAAGAATGAATTGAGTTGTAGAGCATTGCATTTCTTTCTTGTTCCATCCAACAACTTTGGAATAAAGTCTTTTTCTGACATAGACTTTAGAGGAGAGGAGTTTAGGGATAGGTTGGTTTGGAGCAATGGATTAAGTAATGAAGATGTGAAGTATTCATCTCTTAGTAAAGAACAACAGAAGTTCCTTATCTCACTATATTCACTGATCTACATACTCATTCTCCAAAGCTGCACCTTACAACACTAATTTCACAATCCCTCATTGTTGGTGTTTAAGTCAACAAATACAAATATTTAAATTCTTAAAGTAAATAAATTACTAAATCTATCTGAGGATAGATAAATTGTTATAATGGTTGGCGCCAACTATGGGAGAGATTTATTGAGTATAGGTTACGACGTGATACTAATGTTTCTCAAAATTAATTTGGATTCATGCCGAGTAGGTCAACTATGGAAGCTATACATTTATTGAGAGGTTTGATAGAGAAGTATAGAGAAATAAGGAAGATCTACATATGATATTTATTGATTTATATAAAACATATGATAAAGTTCAAAGAGAAGGGCTTTGGATAGTTCTAGAAAAGAAAAGAGTTAATAATATTCAAATCATTAAGGATATGTATGCATGAGCTGTTGCTTGTGTTCAAACACAAGGTGGTTTGACAAAGTATTTTCCTATTTCAGTTGGATTACATCAAGGATTAGCTTTAAGCCCATATCTTTTTTGTTTTTAATCATGGATATTCTTACTAGACATTTGCAAGAGGATGTACCTTGGTGTATGTTTTTTACTGATGATATTCTTCTTGTTCATTAGACTAGAGAGTGAGTTGAAGAAAATCTTGAATTATGGAGGTCAACCTTAGAGTCTAAAAGTTTTCGTTTGAGTATATTTAAAACTGAATACATGGAGTGTAATTTTAGTAGTATTAGATCTAGTGAGGGGATTGTGAGTTTGGGCAATCAAGTCATTAATAAGAGTACACGTTTTAGATATCTCGGGTTTATTGTTCAAAAAGATGGTGAAATAAATGGTAACATTATTAGTAGAATTCAAGTTGGATGGTTGAAGTGGATGAATGCATTAGACCTATTATGTGATAGTAATGTACCCCTCAAACTTAATGTAAAATTCTATAAGATGGTGGTGAAACCTGCAATGCTTTATAGAGCAAAATGTTGGCCATTAAGGTAAGTTACGTGTTACAGAGATGAGGATGCTCAAGTGGATGAGTAGGTTCACTCATAGAGACAAAATACGAAATAAGTATATACATGATAAAGTTGGAGTAGCTTCAGTGGCATATAAGATTAGAGAGAGCAGCCTTAGATGGTTTGGACACATAAAACGTCGGCCTCCGATGACCCAATTAAGAGAGTACATGTATTAGATTTGACCTATGCTAAGAAAGATAGAGATAGACCTAAAAAGACTTGGTCAGAAAATATTGAAAACAATATTTCTTAACATGAAAATATATTTGTTGTTCAGAACTCTATAAATGCAAATAACCGTGTTTCCGATTTCTCAAAAAATACCAAACGTGATATGTTTTATTTCAAATAAGAAGAGAGAACAACGTTAAGCAAATTGATGCCGAACATGTTAATCATAAGTTTATATTACTGTTATTCTGATCATAGTTCTGTTGCAGGATATGGATCCTGGAAGAAGATTGGGTGTTGGCCCTGGTGGTTATCCTGCCCTGAAGATGCATCCTTTCTTTAAGGGCATTGAATGGAGCAAATTAAGAGAGATGTCAGCACCGAAGATTGCTCTCGACTCGAATGTATTGATCTAACATGTGAAAATTATGTCCTTTTTCAAATAATAATAAAAACGAGTTCAATATTTTTCTATGGTCAGGATTCGACGGGGGAGTCAAAAAAAAGTAACTCAGACGTCGCCCTGTATAAGACTTCAGCTTCAGGGTTTGGTTCTAATACAACACCATCATTAGAATTTCATTCTGTTTTCTTGGCTTCAGTAGACTCTTTTGACTCTAGATGGTAAGCAAATTTAAGCTTCAAATTGATCAATAACATCTTTGTTCTGTTTTTACTACGATAGCTGTTTTTACATTTTTATAATCACTTCATTCTGCTTTAATGCTTCAATGCGTCTCTTTATGAGTGATAAAATTCTTCAGCCATCGCCTTAGGAATATAGTTGGTTATTTGCAGATGTGAAACCACATTGGAGTGAGAGTGGGTAAATTCCCACCCTCAAAATATTTTTTCTCTTAAGAAGATTTTATTTTTTAGAAAAATTTCATCAATAATTTATAATTTTACCCGATCATCTTAAAAAAACATCTAACTTAGTTTTTTACTCAGTTGACTAACTAATTAAAATAAAGTCCTATAACCTTCACATTTGTGTCTATTTATATTTTTCTCTTATTATCTTACTAATTATTATTGTTATTATTATTATTTAATTACTTAAAAATTTTGTCCCCATTGAAGAATGGCCGGTTCTGCCCCTGGCTAGTTGAAGCCATTCATTCTCCATTGAATACAAGATCCGTTCATTTTCTTAATTCATAACTGTCTCGATATTAGGCAAGAGTTTCTGGAGCCTGGGGAGTCCATTGTTTTGGCATCTAAGCTTAAGAAACTGCGTCTGCTCACAAGCAAGAAAGTGCAGCTCATCCTCACCAACAAACCCAGATTATTTTATGTTAATCCTTCGAAGTCAATGGAAAATATGAAGATAATTTGGTCTGATAACCCTAATGGCATTAGCGTCCAGGTCTTAAATCCTTCACATTTCAAGGTTTGCACGGTATGTATATCTATGGGGAACTATTCGATTCTTACTTTACTAGATAACTTGCTAACTGCATTACACATTTTCTTCAGCCAATGAAGCTCTCATCGTTTGAGGATAAAAAACAGCTTGCATGGCATTGGAAGAGGGCGATTGAAGGCCTTGCAAATCACTGAATTCACTTCTTGGACCCAAGATTATGCCTTGTAAGTTCATTTGGTTGCTTGAAGTTAGAAATAACTTTTTGAAAATAATTATGATATTTGCTAAATCCTTCATTTGATCAAATCTAATTAAACACCAATAACCTTCTCAAAAATGATGATGATTTTATTTTCACTCAAAATAATTGAAAACAAAATCCTCATTTTTTAAAACATTTTTTCACTAGAAGCGACCCAATTAGCCATAAAGCATCTTTTCCATCTACAAGCAACCAAATGAAAACCTAAGAGCAATTATCTTTAGCAAGGAAGGAACAAGGTTATTTTAAGAGCTCCCTTCTGCAATCAAATCTACAAGCAAAAGGTCATCCCAGTAACAGGGAAGATTGCCAACTAGTTTGAATTTGGTTTATACCATAGATTGAATTGTAGTTTTTTAGCCTTTGTTGGTGTACAGAACTGTTTGTGCATAGAAGAAGGCCAGAAATGGCGTTGGAGCACAATTTTTGAAATCTTTTCAGTTTCCAAACGTTATATGCAAATGTTTGCATATGCTGGAGATAAACTGCATGTGGTCTTAAGTGAATTTTGATATGAATAGTATACTCTGGAGAAAAAAACTGCTTATGTCAATATGCTAATTTGTTACAGAGATATGTGGATCAAATCAAAGAAATAATAATAACATCTGACTGACAACACAAGTATTGGAACTTCATCTGGAGAAGGCTTAGGTTTCATTTGGGACGGCTTTATTACGGCTTATTAAAGCAACTTTTTAAAACAAAAATTAAAATTTTGTACTTGAAAGTTGCTTTAAGAAGCTGTAAGAATGCCATTCCAAACGAAGCCTTAGTTATTTAATTAAAAACTGGGAGAGGGAATCTTCTTGTTGTAGAGTAGTCTATCTGAGTCATGGACATTTGGGCTTTCTTCCATGGGTGCGAAGACCCGCATAACAAGGACAGGCGTTCTTGTTACCATAGGTGCCAGGAGGAACACAACTGCATCTCAAGCAACACGTGCCACATGCACGCTCACACACATTCTTTCTCGATGCTTTTCTGCATCTCATCGCACACGCATAGTTGCAATCTGGTAAATTATTGAGCTCAAAATTAAGATTTTGTTTGAGACAACTTTATTACTAATGTTTCTTAAAGCAACTTTTTAGTAAAAAATTACTAAAAAGCTGCTTTAAAAGCAGTAAGGTGAAGCCTAAGGCTTCGTTTGGGACGGCTTTCTTCTTACTTTTTAAAACAACTTTTAGTATAAAATTTTTAATTTTTATACTAGAAAATTGCTTTAAAAAAGTAGTCTCAAATGCAGCCTAAGATTATCATTCAATTCTCTCTTTCTCTTTGTGCTATAGAATGGCTGAGATATATGCTACACAGTTAGCATTTGGGTCGTCTAAATAATGAAATAGCTGTAAGAATCTGCTTAGAATGATGTGAATTACAGGCACATTTGATCTACATAATTTAGAACTGACAGAGTAAAATTTCTGACAGTAATATACATACTAATTTTGGGCCTCTGATGAGATACTTTGTAAAGAGAAGATGCATTTCCTGCCAACTGAAAACAAAGGGGAAACTTAGAAAACCATACTGCATTAGAAACTGCACCGTAATGCATAGTAAGGCTTCGTTTGGGATTGCTTTTTAATTGCTTCTTAAAGCTGCTTTCTAGTACAAAAATTAAAAATTTTGTAGTAAAAAGATGCTTTAAGAAGCATTAAAAAAGCCGTCCCAAACGAAGCTTAAATCTAATAATTAACAGACTAATATTTTTAATAATCTTAATTTATTAGGTATTTTTTTATTATAAAATTTAGTTTATTTTGAAATAATATAATATGACTAATTAATATTCATTTTAAAATAAATTTATTTTTTAACAAACGGATGTTGATGTGTATTTAATATAAACTATAATCTTTTAAAAATCTAAAAAATTAAATAAACTAAAATTTGTTTGGGACGGCTTTTTACTGTTTTTAAAACAATTTTATAAATTTTTTGTATTTAAAAATTGCTTTAAAAAATAGTAAAAAATTGTCATGAAAGAAGCCTAAATAAATGTCTCACAGCTGAGCCATCTACATCATGCTCCTGATTTGCTTCTGCAATTACCTGCAGTTGAAAGTTGGCACAACATTAATTTCCATACAATGTATAACAAAGAAAAAAAAAATAACTAGGGAGGATTATACATGGAGAAATAAAAAGAGAACAAAGAAGCATAAGAAGAGCCTCTTCTTCCCAGCAGCCATGAACATAAAAAAAATGCTGGAGCTCTCAATATGGGAGAACATGAAGCCATTGATGCCCTTCTTATAGCTTGAAATTCCCAATTTTATTTTAATTTCTTTTGCATATATAATTTATTAATTATAAAAAATGGAGATCTTTTTATATGATTTCTATAATTTTCTATATAAAAAGGTGAGATTCTTGCTCACCCTT